GTCTGAGCCCCCAAGGTCTGGAAGAGCCTGCCATTGAAGGTGGTTCAAGCACCTACACTGAACACCTTCAAGAGCAAATTGGATGCTTATCTTGCTGGGATCCTATGACCCCAGCTGACTTCGTGCCCTTTGGGCGGGGGGCTGGACTCAATGATCTTCTGAGGTCCTGTCCAGCCCTAGCGTCTATGAAATCTGAGAGGATCACAATACAAGTTGAGAGAGCCTTCAGTATGGGGTAAGGGTTTGGTATATGGTAGATGATCTGGAAGATAGGTTGTTATTTTGTAAAATGAATGTCTTTACCATGTGATTGTTTAAACAGGAGCCAGAATCAACAGAGGCATAGCCATCTTACTGATTGCCTGGGGCAGTGGGGCACAGGGGGAGGGGAGGTTGGAAAGGGGCATGCCAACCACTATAGATGGGATGGGAGCGGGGGAGGTTATGGAGAAGAGACGTCTTACTTGCCTCTCTGCACACTGAACCCTCTACTACTGCTCTGCAAGTATTGGCAGCTCCTTGGGACGTCCACCGTTCCCTGTTCTGTCCCATCCCAGACACAAAATGGATTAAGATTTAGTGGGGCCCTGTGTAAACACAAAATTAGAGACCTCCTCCCCCCAGTGGGAGCTGGACTTCAGCAGGTTGCTGCTAAGAGTGGGGCAGGCCCCCATGCCCCGTGCGGGAGCCTGGGTGGGTCTAGATGGGCTGGGGTGGGGTGGCACATGCCACCTCCCCTGTCTGCTTCCCACCCTCTTCTACCCCTGCTATGGCTAGAGTGGAACCCAGTGGGGCAAGAGAAGATGCAGGCTTCCTGCTGTGGGCTCAAGGCTCTCCCTCCCCACATGTACTGCCTGGACGAGCCACCTGTAGCTCCGTTCTGCTCCCCACCCCAGCCTAGGGTCTCATGCACCACCCTGGCTGGGCAGTGCCCCCAGCCCCTGGCCCACTCCCTCCCTCACCCTGGTGACCTCAATCTGCCCCCCCCCCCTTTCTTCCCCCACACCTCTTCCCCCCATTAGCCTTACCTGCATGGAGCTGGCTGCCTGGCTGTGTTCCTGGCCACTTAAGGCCATGCACATGCACAGGGGTGGTGCTAAGGAGGGTTTGGGGGACTAAAGCCATCCCAAAATGTGCCTTAGCCTCCCTGTAGGCAACCCTCCCAGTGCCGCTGCTACCTGCCCACCTGCCCCACTCCTGCCTGCAGCCCACAGAGGCGCAGAAGACAAGCCCAGCCCCAGCTCAGTCCTCACACCAGGAAATGGCTGGCACTTCCCCTGTGTCTCCTGGCAGCCCCAAGCAGGATCCCTTGCAGGCTGGAATACTGCCTGCCTGCAATCCCAGATACAGATGTATTGGGTGCAGGTCTGCCTGACTGGGGGGCACACCATCCCACTTAACCCAGTTGCTCCCCAGATACACTGCTGGGTGCAGGGGTGCACTGCCCTGCTTCTATGCCCAGGACTCCCCTTGCTGTGCTAAAAGTCCTTGGTGGGGAGAGGTTCTGGTGCCCCCTTATAGGCAGTGCCTTGGGCTGGTGACCTGCTCACCTCACCCTGATTACACTACTGAGACATAGAGATTGTTTTTTAAAGTCATGTCACATTATTAAGTTTGATTTATTATCTCTGACTTAGATACAGCTAGTGCCACTAACTTCAGAATATTAATAATTGATTAATAAAGAACTGACTAATGTATTCCAGTTTATTAAGAAAAAGAGAAGAAAAATCCTAGATATTTAGCAGGCAATCTAAGTTCCTCAGATCTTCTGGGAACCTATTTTTTTTACATGATTCACTCACACATTCTAATAAATCTCCTTTGCAAAGCTAATCTGTATTTTATTTCTCCCTAGTGGTGTTATGCAGCTAGATACAAGTTTTGAAGCATGGTACTCCAATTTAAAATGATGGATTCCAGTGCTTCATTGTAGCAGAGCAGTGATAGGCTTATGATTTTGTTAGCAAGTCCTATAACTACTCCCCATTCTGTTTTATTATAAAATAGTAATCTTCTGTTCTAAAGGGTTTATAGAATCATAACATTACAAGTTGATTGACAAAACCCCATTACAGGGAAATGGGTCTAATATTTTTCCAACAAATTTAGAAATATTTGACTTGGCCTTTTTGAAGTTACATAAAATTTGCACTTTCATTTATATACACAGTACAAAAAGTAATGCCTATCCATTTGTAAAAAGTATCTTGTTCCTTCTACTCATTGAACACGTAGGATACAAGAGGAAATATAACAGAAAGAATTCCTCTATTTATTGTAGTTCTATCAGGAAACTAGCTTCACTACCACAGTGGAGGTTTGTGAAAATGGGTGTGTAAATTTGCTCCTCTAAATTCATATTTGACCACCTAAAAATGGACGGTTTTACACCAGGCAGCTGAGCACTTCCAGCAATTTCCATTCAGGTACCTGATTCACTGTTATTGGCTACCTGTGTGACACTGGATAAATCATTTAGCTGTTCCATGTCTTGGTTTATTCACCTGTGAAGCAAAGTAGCTTAGTGGGGGCTCAGCAACACAACGTCCCTTAAATAAATCTCCTTAAATATGTATCAGTTTAACTGAGAACAGAACAGTACTCAGCAGCCATGGCGTTTAGATGCATATATAAGTGGTCTAATTTCTGCACTTCCTACACAAAACAATAGCATGCAAATGCAGGGGTTTGTGCCAGGAGAATGCATTACAAGATGGGGACTAAAATGGTTACCTTAACTTCTAGTTTCCTGACATTCTTGTGATGAATCATGAAAAAACAATTGCTCTTTAATGATAGTCTTTTGTCTACAAATTAAAAATCCCAACCTCCGTAATTTCCTAATCTCTGTTCTGGTTTTGGTATCTGACTCAGTGTAGATAAATCTCAAAAAATCTTGTCACTTGTGGGAAACAGAACTGAAATACTAGAGTTTAACTCTCAGGTCAAGCCCCTTATTTGCTTCAACATTTTTCAGATTTTTTTTTCTGCTATGGGGCCCAGCTGTGCAGATGTGACCATTTCCTTTCTACCAAACCAACCAAAACAATGCTGGAGACCTAAAGCAATAAACACACAGTATCCTCTTTCAATTTCTCCATTCTGGGGAGAAGGTAATTTTATATATTTCAGATCTTCAACCATATCCTTACACCTGACTGACAGCAGCATTAATGAAATGCAAGATTGATAGCTGTGATGGATAACCACAAAGATACAGTCAATCTGGAAAGAACAAGAGTAGTCTACATAGGGAGGGATGACAGGGAGTAAAGGACATCTACAGTCATCTCAACAAAAACCCCTGCCAAGTATGAAATAAAAAAGATCAGGAGAGGACTAAAAATGTATATGCTGCTGGCTGTGTCTACATGATATGCTGACTGCACAGATGCTAGTGTGCAGTCATTTAGTACTTGTAACTGGAGTTACTGCGCAGTAGTGTCACATCACACTTCGTGCCACACAATGCCACTGTGCAGTAGTTAGGAGGTACTACACAGGCAGCATCTCACCTAGACCCTGCCACTGTGTATTGATGTATGGAGTTGTTAATCTTTTCTTTAACAATCTGGCTTGAGTACCCATTATTCCAACAAGTTATTTGCACAAGTCATTTGATTGATTTTAATAGGATAACTTGTGATGAAATGACAACTAGTTAGAGCAGGAGGTTCAAATCTGTCTCACAGGGAAAAAGTGTTAAAGCAAAGCTTGAGAGTCAGGTTTTCTGGGTCATGTTCCTGTTTCTGCCACCAGGTAACTGTGAATAAATTACTTGATCACCCTATGCCTCAGTTTACTCACCTGTAAAACAAAAAAAGTAACCATATTCTGTACCCCACACACAAATCGTTAAATAAATTTTAAGGGTTAATACTGGATCCAGTAGCATTTGCTTGGTCTGGTATGTAAGAAATTTTCTAAAGATGGGTGTTGGGTGTCTTAATTAATTAATACTATATATATATGATCTTCTAGGAGTCACAGCTGTAGACGGGCAACTGTTTAATGTTAAAGAATATTTTAATTTGGTTTTCTCTTTTTTTCAAGGCTGGGAATCATGAGTATATAGCATTTTCATGTTGCTTCACTCATATTTTATTCTGTCCCTCTTGTGTACCATTTTAAAACTTAAAACAATTCAGTAAACATATAATTGGATTTATCTTGTATTTTTCTTTATTCAGTTCTAAAGCCCAGGCACATTCAGTGATTGGTGTCTCAGATATTTTTTGCACAACCTAAACTATACGCTAAAACTGAGAGCTGAAAGGACAAACCATCAAGTCAGTCATACATTTGATTTATTGAGAAGTAAGAGATGAAATCTGGGAGAGGCCCTTTAGATTCTTGTACAATATGGGAAATATATAAAACTGTCTGTGCAGCTCCAGGAGACTCCATAAGCTATTAGCATCAACAGGCATCTGCAGACTGTGTAATTGAGCAATACAGTACTGTTCAAACAGTTATGAAGATAGATATTCAATAACTAAGCATGCTTGTGTAGTCATCAGAAATTATACGAAAGGCCCTAATGTATACAGTTTATCCTGATAAGTGTTGTGTGGCAGGGCACCTGCAGTGTCTGCCACTAAGGTTTCTAGTTGGCAGTGGAGCAGCCGGCATATGGGTGCTAGCCTCATCAAGGCTAGCACGTGACCCTAGGAGGACCCTGGGATTGGATGAAGGGGCACAGCAGCCTCCATTTTAACCCAGGCCCTCAGAAAGAAAGGGAGCAGTCTGTACTGAGAAGGCCAGGAGGCAACATCAGGCTGAGCTGCTCTTGGGACATCTTGGAGGTAAGGGCAGGAGCTATGGGGATGGTTTGGAGGCTCCTGCTCCTGGGTAAGACCTAAAGCTGCACCCTGCCAGGGATGGGTGGTCTGGTGGGGCTGTTCACTGCAGAACAGTCCCCCAGAAATGCCAGGCCAGTTACCACCAGTGAAAGGCGAGGAGGGGGGCCTGAAAACCCCAGACCCTACCTATGGATGGGTTACCGACAAGGGAAGAGACCTGGGCCAGGCAAGCCCAGTGTGGGACACCTGATCCCAGTGTTGTGGGGCCAGGCATGGTGATGGCCACATGAGCCTACAGAGTGGAAGACCCCAGTGCAAGGGGCCAGGCACGGCAGCAGCCACCTGAGCCCCACAGGTTTAAGGACCCCTGCGGCCCAGCAAAGGGGCTGCGAGAGTGAAGTGGCCCAGCAAGGAGCCCAAGGGCCCAGCGAGGGGCAGAACCACTGACTTGGGGAAACAGATATATTGGAGGGGATAATATGGAAATACCAGATGTGACATAGAAACAGCTGCAAGGCAGGGGGCATGTGTAAGGGTCGGCTGGAGCATGTATTTAGGCCCTTGTTATCAAGAGGCCAAACAATGGGCGACCTTCTGCCTTAGAAATAACATTCATATTATTTTCATGAAGGCATGGCAGAAGAATGAGGTGGGGGTTTAGCTTAGAACAGGTGGGTGGCTAGTACTGAGACCCAGCTCTGAAAGGCCAGCCTGTTACATGTTGTATCTGTAACTATTAGGGCATAGTACACCTGGCAACAATTAAACATTTTTCTGTGCTCCTTTGCTGGTGTCCTACACCATATCCTGACTCTTGCAGACCTTTTTGGAACATGTCATTTAAGTACTTTTCCCTGCTGTTTCCGCAGTTCTCTTGTAATACATTTCTTAAATCGTAGACTAGCAGGGTCCTAATGAGCCTTATACTTTGATACCTCTACACACATAGCACCTCACTAGAGGATTCTGGCCACTTTTTCAAAGAGATGAGTAGAGGAAGGTTTGGATCTGAAAGAGGACATCTTCCATGTATACACCATAGCCTTTGGGATTTCCCTTATGCTAGAATATCCATAGGTTAGGAGAGCCATGCTTTGCCCCCTCTATAAACAGTGGCCTTTTCAATGCTTCAGTCTTCAAAAATCATGACCTTGATTCAGCCAACAGGGATCAGAAACTGATGCAATACATACCCTAGCTATAGACATGGAATTGGCTGTGATCAAACTTACTAGTAATCAAAACCGGTGTAAACTGTGGCTTTTCTTGTCTTCACCTGGGCTTTGCATATTTACAGCTGTTTGCTTCCTGCCCATTGTTGTATTGAGCTTAACCACAAGCAGTAATTAAGCCTTAGGCAATCCCACAGGTTTTTTGGGAAATGAGGGGCATGATCTCTACAGATTTTTAGTATATTTTAAAAATAAATAAACCAGACTTATGAACAAGAATAAAAATATGGAACCCCTGTGAGAAACATGGAGACTCAAGTTTGTTTGATTTCAGTAGGTGTTAGCCCGACTATATCTGAAGATATCTGCCATTGTACTTGTATACATCATTTATACACCAAGCAGAAATTTTCCCTTAAGAATGGAAGGGTAGCAGCCCTACAAAGGCCACCATAGACTTATTACTTCCCCGTTTTATACAGAAGGTGATTAAATGCTATGATGTTGGGGAGCAATGTATGGCTAGTCAGAGGTCAGCGTCTCAAACTATGTTAACATACACATACTTTTACTGGATGAGAAAATCCTGTAGTCAGTCAGTCAGGTACCATTTCACATGAAGACTGCTGCAACATATTCCTATTCCAGCAGTGATACTCTGTCAGTCTTATCAACTATACTTTAAAAGTACAGCACTCAGGTGCATTTAAAATGTCTGTTTTCATTCCAATGCCAAAGTTATCTTTCAGCATAAATTTTAATCAGAGATATCTCATGAGTAAACTCTATACTCTAATTAATGGCTCGAATAATTGTGCTCAGTGTACAGTTTGGCTGGCGGCCGCAGCTTTTGTTAACTGTATGATTGCTGTTTATGTCATATATTGAAAAGTAGTGTTATTACCGTTTCAAGATAATCAGCATTTACTTAGAAAATTCAGAGGATAGACAGGCCAGTGTTGTATACACTAGAGTAACTCTGTGCAACATACTGCATTGCAGCAAGACAGCTAATAAAATAGTGAAGCAAAGCACATTTACTGCTATGAATTGCACTATGCTGTGGAGAATAGGATGATATCATATTATATTTTGTAACCAGAGATATGTTGGAGAATTTTTTTTAAGGGCTAAAGCACATTTCTGGCATGACTACTAATATATTAAACAGTTGAATGCTCCTCTTTCATTCTGGTTACATGTCATTCTGGCATTTGGAGATACTGTTGAAACAAGCCTCTAACTATTAAAATTCAGTGTTTGTCTGATGGCACATCCCATAGGAAACAGAGAATAATGTGATAAGCCTGATGCAGTTACTATCTCCTGGTTTAAAATGCAAATCAACAGGGATAGTTATATATCCATTATGCCATAGCATCATAATCCATCATCTGGGAGAAATTATGAAAGGTGTAAAATACACCTATATCCTATTGACTTTCAGTGGGAGTTAGGCACTTAACTGTTGATTGTGCTTTTGAAAATCGTCCACTTAAATATTAATTCACTGTTTATTCACATTATATTTAACAAAGAGTGAATGTTCCATAGTTCTCTGTGATGTGATAGCTGAGTGCTGTTGCTTCAGAGAGAACTCTAGTGATACCCTGTGGAAAGTGGGACAAAATATTTCAAAATTTCTTTAAAATACTTTGTAGACACTAATATAACTTGGCATTATAAATGGGAACCTGAGCTATCTGTGGATTTTTATAACGTTACATTTTATTTTGGAATGTGAACACAACATCTTTCCTACTTTACCCTGCAATTCTAACACAAGTCTTAAAAAAAACTTTCCTAAAACCCTCAAACATTTGAACCCAGGAGCAGCTGAAGTTCACAGAGCTATCCCTGAAGCCAGTAATTTAGCAGAATTCAAAAAGGCACAAACATTTATGTGGTTACTGATGACATTCATGATCATATTACATAGAATTTAAAATAGAGTAAAAGCTATCTCCTGCTGTGTCTTGGGCAGTATACTTATCTTTAACTGAGTGTAGGGAGGTTAGTCCCTAACTGTCCACTTCAAGCTTTCTCGAGTTATTGTGAAGCAAGTAGCAATGATCACTGGTGGAG